CCCCAAAACCCCAAAACCCCAAAACCCCATCATACTATTTAATGGAAATAAATAAGTTTAATAAAATCCATGTAATTTCTGAGGTAAAATAATGAGTAGTAATAATAATAAGTAACTTGGCTGCTTGCATCATAACTAATTCAATCTTATCTAGTGGCTGCTGATTTCAAGAGATCTTTCAAAGAGCATTTTCCTTGCAGCATTTTCTGAGTTTCCTTATCATATTAGTTGTAGTTAGACAATTTTGGTGGTCTAGGAGCATTCTTTAGAAGCAATAAATTCTCTTAACTCAGTTAATATGACCCTCTATTAAGTATATCATGGATAGAAGATGATTTTCTCATTCCTCCTCTCAAATCATCGTTTCCTATTGCTGAGTCATAGAGATGTCTTCTCTCTGTTATCATTCCTAATACCTCATCATTTTGCATTTTAAACTGCTTGCTTCTATTCTAATGCAGTCCAATTTTTGGAAGCTGTAGTTCAGATCTTCCATTTGCATCTTTGGCATTATTCTTAACAGAGAAATACTCCTTATTGACACTTGATTGATTATCATCACTTGGTTAAGCCCCTTGATTTTTTTAGTAAATCTAAGGCTCTGGTCTATAAGCTGGTTCTTGAATTGAGCTGTGCTCCTCTACTATAGATTCATTCATTTTGTAACTTCCTGATCTTTAAGACAAAGGAATGTAATTAATACTTTGTCGATCTGAAGGTAATTGAGATATTGCTAAATTTTTAGATGACTCTTTTTTAGAAAGACGATTATCATTGAATATCTCAGTCTAAATTATAGCCTATCTAACATCTGGTTCAACTTGAACTTCTTAATCGACTCCGAGCCTGCCATCTAGTATATTTTTAATTCTATCTTTCAAATCTCTAATTTCATTATTTCTCTTTTTAGTCTCTTCTGAGTATCTTTCCAATTCTTGCTTTTTCTTTTGTTTTGTCTCTTTAAGTTTCTATTCCAAAGTTCTTTTCCAATCAGCAAGCTCATCATTGTAGATCTATGACTCTTCAAGGTCTCCACTCATCTTTTTAATTTGCTTCTCTAATGTCTCTTAAACAAATCTCAATTCATAAATTTCCTACTCTTGCTTTGCAATCATTGTCTTATTGATTCTTATAGCCATGCCATCAGTATGAGCCTTTATTTTCAATGAATCTATCTGGCACATAAGTTCCCTTCCTTTAGCCAGCAAGTCTTCATAATGCATATCATTAAGTTCCCTCATATGATCCATTTCCCCCTTAAGCAGATTGTACTCCATATTCGATCTTTTGAACTATAGATATAAATACTTGAAACTTAATTACATAAGCCTTTGCAGTTGACTCTGAAACATTTAGCAGCTCCCTTGTAGTTCCCAAATCCTTCTCTAATTCTTCTTTCTTCTGCACATATGAATTTATTTTAATGTAAAGCTCATCAGTTTATTTCTTCCACCTTGATTCTTTCTTTGTCTCATTTTCTAATGTCGCTTAAAGTCTCTAATTTTCAAGGTATTTGTCTTCAAGTTGTAATTTTAGCTTATTCATTTCTTAAATAGATTCATTATGCTATCTTTACTCTTCTTCGACTCTGTTTAATAGTTCAGCTCTGTTTGCTTTAGCTCCTGCAAGCATGGTTTCTAATGACATTGCTCTATTTTTAATCTCTTCAAACTCTAAAGTTGCTTTTTGTACTGCTGCTGACTTGATAATCTCTAAATTATCATAGGCAATTTCTAGTTAATTTAATCTGTTAGACAATTTCTCACTATCCTTTTTATACTTATCGACTATTCTATCCTTATCTTCAATAAATGAAATTAACTCTCTTGATTTGCATTACTCATGATAATAGTACTGCTCATACTTCTACTTTTCTTTTTACATTTCTGAAAGTCTATTAACTGCTAATTCATTATCGTTTTTAATTTGAGCATAGAGCTCCTATATCTCCTGTAATTTATTAGTATTAGAGAAGTAATCTTGCTCAAGAGTGTCGAGTTTGTCTGTTTTATTGTCTAGCACTTACTTTTATTCATTAACTTACTTTTAAAGATGCTTATTTATAACCCCAAAGCCTATTATCTTTGCCATACAATGACTGTGGGCTTCAGTGATTTTGCTAAGATCATCTTGAAACCTTTAAGACTGCTCCTAAAAAGATCCTTTTAGAACGATTTCATTTTCTAATTAAAGTTGATAATTCTTTATATGTGATTCAAGCTGCTCATTGTTTTCTTTTTCCTGTATTAGATTATTCTTTAGAATCAAATTTTCTTATTTTAATTCGTTGATATATTTCTGAGAGAATCTCAAATCAGTCTTGACTTTGGTCATTGTGTCTTCTAGATACAGTTCTCTATCTTTGAGTACCTATGTTTATTGCCTCCAGTAATCTTACTCTTATTGAGACTTCTATAGCTTAACTTCTGATTAATAATAGTCTTTTTTGAATTAATCTAGATCAGCTTTAGACATTGCGAGTTATGTATTTACATCTTCTTTCATGAAATCTATTCTTATGATTTCTTCAACTGCTCTTTTGTATCTAGTTTCTACTTCTCTATGCAAAATAAACAGTTCATTGATCTTCATTTCATAGCGCTTTCTGAGCAAAATTTCATCTTCGTAATTTTTGTTCTGTTATTCGTGATCTTTCTAAAGCTGCTGTCTTCTTTAGAGTTCAATTTATCTCTCCTTTTCTATCTCCTCGACTTTATTTAGCAAATTTTAAATGTTTTATTTTAACATTCCTTCTTTTTCAAGAAATTCTGTTTATTTTACTTCTATTTGTTCCTCAAGGGATTTCATCTCTTCAGTATGCTTTTCAGTAATTTCTTAGATTTGCATTCTATAATCATGCTTGCAACAATACTCAAGAAGTATGGAATAAACTTTCCAGAAATTTGATATCATTGCTGGTCTATTCTTACATTTTCCAATCGCATTCTTTAGCATTTCATAGAAGCCTACACTATATACAAAGAGAGATCTATAAATTCTATCTATCTACTCATTAGTAACTCCAGCTTTGCTTAAAGTAATTCTATCAACATTAAATCTGTTTAGAGGTTTTTTCTAGTCCATTCTGACAATGTCTGAATTGAGTCCTATTTGGTCGTTTGATTGGGCTTCAGCAGTTTGCATAGTTTCATTCAACCAAATCTCCATTACTTTAAGATTTACTCTCTGGTCTAACTGAGAAGTAACAGGATCGAATATTGGACTATTTTTCTTTAGTTTCGTAGATTAATCCATTTCCTCTTTTTAAGCATCTTTGGAATATGAATTTCTAAGAGCTTTCCCATTTAGTGCATTACTTTATTTTGAAGGTTACAAGTTGACTGTTGCAGGTAGGATACTTGGCTTTGTTAAATCATAGAATTCATCTTAAGATTGGCCTCTTGTTAGAGAATTAGTTGTTTCTGTATTATTAATGCTTATAAAATTACCAAGTTGATTATTTAGAGTATCAACAGTTTTGTATAAAGAGTAATTACTTTAATATGGCTTCAATCCTTTACTACGCTCGCTCATAAATCCAAAATTTTATATTGAATTCCTTACTAATTAAATCAATATTTATTGTAATAAGCTTACATCCAATGCTTATATTCTGGCCAGAGTTTAGATTACCTATAACACCTGGTAAGTCTGGGAGATGTAGAGATTAGTCCACTTGCTTTATATGGGAGCTTCCATTTTTGTGTGAAACTTCAGCATTGTCTGAGAAGCCATTCGAACTTTGCATTATTTCAGGAATTCTTTTGCTCTATGATTGATAATTTTGAAATTAACTTGTCATGGCTGTAGATTCTATGTTATGTTCTTTCACTAGATAATTTTAGATCTAAGTACTTAGCTAGGCTAAGTCTCTTTGCATTACTGCACTTTGAAACAGTCCACTCTTCGATTTCTTCATAATCTTGATTTTATTTATTTAAGTAAATTACTCATTCTAACTTTCGAAAATCAATTCTTATCTAGGGGGTTTTGGGGTTTTGGGGTTTTGGGG